TAACAAAAAATATTTAATATTTGTAAAATATTTTTTGCTTATATTTATTCTTAATGTATGTCAAACTTATATGCTAATTTTCAACGAAAGACGTACATTAGAAAGCAAAATATACACAATGTCTAAATAATTTTCGAACAGCCCTCGTATTCTTTAGGTTGTGTTAGTCTGATTAAATTATGACGATAATGAACAATAATACTTTTCAAAAGCTGTCAACAGGTCATAAACTTGGATCGTGTGCCTAGGAGAAGTACCTATAAGCATATCCTCTAGACCGGTATATTTATTTAAGTGTCAAAAATAATTAAGTTAAAAAAAACTTATAGCAATAGTTAATAATTGTTATCATACTGATTAGACGTTTGTTATAACAAGCTTTTACTTAAAAAAATAAGGCTTACCTTATTGATTTTTCCGTTGTTGTATGGAAAATAATATAATCTATATTCCGATTGCAAGCTTTTTTAAATACTATCATCCAAATATAAAGAGGTTTTTAAATGTTCGATTTCTACGGAAGCGTATGTATGCCACTTGTTCACTTTTTTTTCTTGTAAATTTTAATTTTTAAAGTGTAAATTTTATACTTTAATTTATAAAATTTACACTTAAGTCTGTAAAATTTTCAATTTTATCTGAATGTTTTACACTATAAAGTGTAAATGTACACTTTAATCTGTAAATTTTAATTTAAAGTGTAAATTTTACATTTTAATCTGTAAATTTTACACTTTAAAATATATTTTTTACCCTTTTTATCTGTAAATTTTACACTTTAAAGTGTTAATTGTATGCTTTAATCTGAATATTTTACCCTTTTTAAGTGTAAAATTACACTTTCATCTTTAAATGTTACATTTAAAAGTGTACATTTTACACTTTAAAGTGTGAATGTTATGCTTTAATCTGAATATATTACACTTTAAAGTATATTGTACATCTGTCCTTAAGGTCATTTTTGAACGAAGCAATAGCAAAATGTCATTGAATAAAGGGAAATAATTTCCTCTGCTTTTCAAAAATTTATATATTTAGTCATATACTTTAATCATTTATATATGTACATGTATATACTTTACTAATTAATAAATTAATTGGTTATTTAGTTAAATTCAATTCAAAAAGTATTATAATTGTTTCCTGTTATAAATTTAAAATGTAATAATTTAATTTAAGTTGTAACAAATCATTTGATTGGTTAGACGGTTTTATCTATTTCGTATAACATAAGCTGCCTACGTCACAATGAGTTACGACAAAAACGTTTCACTCCGCTTGACGTTGCTTATAAAATAATGCTCGATATGAAGCCTTTTTCCGAACGAAATATTTTTTCATTGTCAACATTGAAATTAAATTATAAGAAATCAGGCTTATTTCAACTAATGTTATCCGATATAACATAACTAGGGGCAGTTTACGCTTATTTATAAACCGATTCGCGGTTTCTAAAGCGTAAACTGCCCCAAGTTATGTTACGGATTAAAGTCTAAATTTTATAGAAGAAAGTGTAATTTTTTTTCAAATTAACTTTTACAGAATAAAGTGTAAATTGTATCAGATTAAATTGTAAAATTTACAGATAAAAGTGTAAAATTTTACAGGTTAAGGTGTAAAATTTACACGTTAAAGTGTAAATATTACAGATTTAAGTGTAAAATTTACAGAGTAAAGTGAAGAGTTAAAAAAAGTGGCACTAATACGCTTCCGTAGATTTCAAATAGATTTATAAATATAATTTTTAATGGAAGAGGTATTCACAATTCCTTTGATCAATAAATCGTTTAAAATTGTTTTGCGTAACAATAAGGCTTTGATATGCGCTAAAACACAGACGGGTTTTTTAAAGGTCTCAGTAAGAAATCTAACAAGGCGCAAAAATATAAACATTAAATTGAAGTTGTTGAAAATTTTATAAAAGAAAACTGTTTTTTATAAATATTTTTCTAGATTGTTAGACGAAAGAAAATATTCTCATGGACGAACTCTCTTCTAATCACATTTGATTCATTAAGTTCGGATTTCATAAGGAATCAACATTTATCAATCTGCAGCTTTCTTTTTTGAGTTCCATTGTTCGAGTTCTGGCCCCAGGATCATGAAGCATCTTAAGCTTAAGTCAAAAAATGCCTTAGATGCTGAAATTTTTTAGAGGTCATGCAGTCCGAAATGAAAATACTTTCCGATTTTGTATCACCAGCCTGCTGTTGCATGCTAATTATGAGTTTCCTTTAACAAGTTTTAAAGATTTTATAGATAAATGAAATTTTGACTTAAGTCTAAGTCTGTTTCATGATCCCGGGGCCAGAACATTATAAGCAATAAACCTTTAAGATTGCGTATATTATGTTTGTTGTTAAAGAAACACAAACCAGTTAGATAATCAGACATCAATCCAATATTCTGCGCTTTTGAATTCATCAACTTTAAGAGACACTAACAATATAATGTCTGTCATCTGCTTTTTAAAGCCTTCAGTAGTATAAATATTTGGCCCTGCTAATCTATCTGTTTGTCTATCCATCTGTTATGAAGATATGGTTTTACGTAACGATAATTGGATTATGGGTATTAAAAAAGAATTAGGAACATTAGGTTTGAGCTATTTATGGGACTCCAATATTGCTGATAGTTGTACACATACAATAATTTAGCAAAAGGTGGCTGATATTTATAGACAGAATATTTTTTCACTTGTAACTTCGTCTTCAAAGTGCAATTGTACCAGTACGTTGTAAATAATTTTGAATTACAAAGATATTTAACAAAACCTATTGATGATAAATATAAGAGAATGCTTACCAAGATTAGAGTATCAAACCACCAATTAAAAAATGAAACTGGTAGATATAATAATATACTTAGATCTCAAAGAATTTGCACACTGTCCTCCTCTAATGATATAGAAGATGAATTTTATTTCATATTAAAATGCCCATTTTATGAAAATCTTAGAAGTATGTACATTAAGAAGTATTATTATGTCAAACCAAGTGTATTTAAAGTTGTAAATTTAATGTGTAGCCAACATGTAAAAGAATTGTCAAATTTTGGAAAAAATTTATATAAAGCTACTGCTCTACGAAAAAGTAATCTGTTACTTCTATTGATATGTATCCTTTGTGTATGTTTGTATATAATATTTATTCTGTACTCCGTATCAAATTGTTTATATGCTGTACTGATGAGCCTCTGGCTCAAAGAATAAAGAAGTGATACATGTAATAGGGTCCGTCGTCTGTTTGTCCGCCAAAAATTTCCTTGCCCATTACATTTAATTTAGTGGGACGATGGCTTTCATATTTCACTATAATCCTTGTGACACAACTTTTCTTCGGGTACCACCAAATTTGATCTCTTGACATTGACCTTAGAGTAATTCACATCTATCAATGGGTAAATCTGTGACTTTTTGATCTTGACTTTCAAGTTTGAGCCACTCTGATAATTTTAATCATGGCTAGAACTTGTGAACATAAAATACTAGTCATGATTTTTCATGTTTCATATATGTATTTCTTGTGAAAAAAAACTTTCTTATGGACACTAACAAAATTATCCTTTTGACCTTTCAATTTGACCTGCATTTTAGAACTGCAGGATACGACATATGCTAAGCATACGGGGACATTAGTATTTCACACATCTTCTTACTTGATTATGATTTAAAAACTTTTGTTATGAATTTTTTTTTTTTGAGTTTTTATTTCTAAAGATATAAGGAATTATAAATAGTAATTTTCTATTAAAAGAGTATAAAGCATCCAGTTCATAATACAGTATAAATGACGGGATTCAAAGAACATCATCGAAAGTCAGGTCGCTGAAGCCTGGAGGGATTGCAACATTTACATTGACTTGTTACATAGAAGAAGAGTTTGATGTAGTCGATTCAGCAAATGTTGTTCTCACAACTGATTTATAACTACGTCAATTTTTCACTGGATATAAGCATGTTCGAAAAGGCCTCCCTGGTGGAGCAATGCCACTTTGGTATCTTTTGTAAAGTTATAGATATAAAACGTCTATCAAGAAATTGGAAAAATCAAATTATCATACAATATGACAAAACCCGTTCACGTGGACAGCGTTTTGGAAAGGTCGATTTGTGCAGCTTCTTGACCTACTTTTTTTGCTGAACTTTCACATAAAAAGCACATTTCGGAGCGAATGAATATATTTTTCAGTTATTTGATATTGGATAACAATCTGTCAGGACTTTGAAAAACTTACCATACTTCTGAACAAATAAAAGTTCCTATATATAAATAGACCATCCCCCAACTGCTATTAATAATTTTAATCATAAGTTAACATAATTCAAATAAAAAGATATTTTTATTACTTGATAAATATCTGATTTTTTTATTAAAATAAAAAAGAATTATCATAATTAATATACACTTGCTTTAAAAACTGCCTTAAACAAACAAATATACCTCTTTGTAATGTTACTGGCTATGTCCTGTAACTGCTGATAAAATGTACAACAATGTTAAACTGTTATCTTTTCATATCTTATTTATATCTCTCGAACTATTACAACATATCACACAATAAAGTCAAATATTATCTGCACGTTTTGTGGTGTGATGACTAGATGATGTTCATCGGAATTTAGTATGCTTAAATATGACAAGGACGCTATTTTTTGTATTATTTTACGTGAAAAGTAAGTAATTTTAAACTTCCCATTGTCTAAAAAAGTAGGATGAATATTTGTCTCAAAAATACATTCAAACATGTTCAAGATCGAACTGCTTGGATAACACTTTTTGATATGATTTTGTTTAAATTGAACCTTATTTTCAAACTGGATTTTGGATATATCTATTTTTATAGAACTTAAAATAATGTTAATTTATATGTATATTTAACTCACTTAGTTTTTAGGTGTAAGAAGTTAAATATCTTTTGATCAGTTAATACCGGTATCATACAAATGCTATTCGACTCAAATATTTTCTATCTCTTAATTTTAGTAATACAATAATTACATTTTAGGCGTTTATTGTGATCTGTGCTTCAACAAGTTTACCGGTAACACGTTTTACTGCCAAGCAAGATGCTGTGATTATCAATGTTGTGTTGCCTATGATGACGACAAAAATTGGTAAAACCAAACATTAAGAATTGTTACACACAAGTAAATCTTCAAAAAATAAAAAACTATACTCTTTCGCTTTTAACAGTGTTTAAGTAATGGAAAAAAGTTAAAGTCTCAGCTTATTTTATTGCTTCCGAGCATTGTAAGCAAGCTAGTTTAAATTTATTTTCAATTGAAAACTGCTTACATATATATTTTTCTGAAAGAATGTATTAATTTTTATTAAATTGTATATTCTTATATTTTTTTAATTAAGGAGCAGTGATGAGGTAGCAGGAGCAGTCGTGGGAACACTGTTAGGAGGGACAATATTAGTTATAGCTATGATATATATAGTAAGGAATTTCTGCATAAGGAGATCAAACTCTCAGTCAGGATTTACGACCACCAGGATTGCTATCATTAGTAACGGTATTAATGCACCTGTTATAAACATTATTTTTATATCACTTTTATGTCGAAGCTTATTACGTATAATGACTTTCACTAGAAAATTGTGCCTTAAGAGTGGTATTTACCTTATTCTTTATTCATGTTGTATTATTTCACCTGCTTATATGGTGTTTATATCTCCTTAGCTGCGCAATCTTGCCCTTAAATTGATCAATTTAAACTAGGCAGACAACTCAATGATAAGTTGATGGTACATCAACTTTCAACATGCTCGTTTAAAGCCAACATTTTGTAAATTTTGGGGTCGTTATAATGACCTTATTTGCAGATATTACGTATCATGGAGTCGTAATTTATCTTGTTTCATACAAATTATTAACCATTTGTTTTTGTACTGAGTCGACTACCGATAGCTTAGTCTTCCTTATTAAAACATAAGGCGCACGGTGGGTGTGACGCATCAACAGGGGGTGTTTACTCTTTCTTGGCATCTGACCCCATCACCTTGATTTTCAAATAATTGTTTTATATATGCAATTATTTTTTTTTTATAACTGTTCGTTATCTTTTAATTTTGCATTATTCTTTAAAAAATTACAAATGAGATCCTCCATCCACTTTAACTCTAACGCTTTCGTACTTTGTTTCAAGTGTAAAGAAAAATACAATTCACTGCTTAAAACAAATATGCAGTTGCAATCCCTAGTAGTCAGATAAAACTATCTCTGCTACTTTATCTCTAATATAGATTTTAAATTATAAAATTAATACCTATAATCCTAAGAGGACTTTTCTTCTGTAGTCATAAGTTTGAAATCATTTTTTAATAAAAAAAAATCTTTTATATAGGTCAAACAGAGCAAATTCCAATGCAATCAACTGCGGGTAAGTTGTCAAGATCCCCACCATCCTATGAGGAATCACAAGCTACTGTTATAGGAAGGACAGTTTACTCGAGATTCCAGGACGAAGAGTAGTTCATACACATACGCACACAAACACGCACACACACAGAGAGAGAGAGAGAGAGAGAGAGAGAGAGAGATCCCTGTGTGGGGATTGGGGTTGTTTCTATGTTATCTATTTTACAGTGTAATGTTTGAAAAAAAGGACTACATGCTTTTGATACATATATGTTCTTTATAAAAAGTTAAAGGAATATTATGAGTTTTTTTTTAACTTAAGGGAAAATGATGAGTCTACCAAAGATTACACATTTATCCTTATTTTTTCGATTCATTTAAGATACATTATGGTATTTTTCTTGAGGTTTCATTCTATCAATGAAGTAGATTGGTGTATCTTTGGGGTAAATCACCATATAACAAGCATTAAAAGCTAATGTTTTTGTTGATGTTTCTCGTAAACATATATATAATATAGTTTTCTTGGAAAATATCAACCTTTGCTCTCTTTTGAATGTTTTGTAAATGATTTTGTTATCCAGTGCATGATGCATGTAAAGTACGTTTTATATGTAGAATGTAGATACTATAAAAATAACAGGATATTCCTTCCATATCACGAGTTCTCAAAAGGTTGGCCGATGCATAATATGTTAACTGAATAATTTGAGTTTTACACATTTTTATATTTAGATGTAGATTGTATAAAATATTATCATTAAAAGTTAGAAATTCCCTACTATTTTTCCAGTTCTTAAAGCAAATTGCTTCTCTTTGTGAAAGGGTATTTAAGTACACAGGATTAATCTTTCCTTTATGTCCATCAAGGCTTTATGCATGAGTACATCAATTTAACATGTAACTTATCGAAGGTATTTTTTTAAAGGTAAATCGTTGCTTAAATTGTACTGTATGCAGTATGAACTGACCAGTACATGTAAAAATGTTGAAAAAGATATTTATCGATCAAATCTGTACTGTTTAACAAAGTTGCTTTTCTGTACTTTTCAAGTTTTTTCTGAAATTATTTAATGTTAATGATTTAATATAAAAAAAATCTACTGATTTTCAACTTAATTATAAAACATTAGAAAAACATAAAACCTAATTTCTTCCGTGATCATTTTAATTGTAACTGAAAGGATTTAATGAAAAAAGCTCTATTGCAGACGACTTAATTGTTAAAAAAAGGGGGTATCTCATAGGTTACTGTTAAAGACAGACATAAGAGAGTCAGTGATGAGGTGGAGTTGATCAATATTCATACAATGTATATTCCTTGAAAATTACTTACTTTGATATACAAAAACATCAGCTACCTTTCGAAATCTTTTAAAGATAAATAAAGATCCACTCTCTTTTCCAAACTACTAACATTTATCAATTGAATGCAATTAACAAACTACAAACCTTCGATAAAAATAAAATGCACTACAATTGTCATCAATTGCCCTTTTTTATTACAAAAAATTCAATAATATTATACTTAATGTTAAACTGAAGTAAATGGCAAATGCCAAATTTAACATTTTGTCAGTATACATGTACATGCTGGGAAAATCGTTTCAGTTTCTCTATCCAAAGGTAAAGGAAGGGGACGACAGGAATTAAAGGCATGCCTTCTCACACATTTAGTTTATACAGATACCCACACAGGGAAACATTTCTTTACTTGCATAAAAAGCTTCTGCCATAGAGTTTCTTTAAATTATGTTTGCTCAAGTTTTAATTTTACACAGATTTTTTTCTACGCTGAAAAATGTTCATTTTTCTCTGTTTGAAAAAAATTATTCGTAGTTTGACAATAAGTGTGGGTTTTCCGACAAAAGATTTTCGTAATTAAAATGTTCTCATGCATTTCAGAGCTTTACACTATTTGTGACTATTTATTTCTAAAATAAGACCTTGAACTTTTTATGAAAAAGAATATTAGGTTGAGTGAACAATAATCAATCAATTAATACAATATTTGATCAAATCCTAGTACAGAAGATGTAAAATATTGAAAGTTCTGTAAAATTAAACAAAGTGAATAAAAGTAATTATAAACATTTCAATTTCATATTTTTATGCAAAATTGAAATAAGTAAACTAAGCATATTCTGCACTTAGTTACGCAATATTTGCATTTTTCTCGCTATTCTGTAAATGTGGCATGAAAAGCAAACATCAATGACTTATAAAGATATCAACCGATTAAGATTTGAAAATTCTTTTACACAACGTTGGAAACTCATACCGCCCGGGATATGAATTCTCCTAGTAAGTACCAACAATATATTCATGTTTAAGTTTATTTTTCTTATGTATTTCATCATAGCCTACGATTTGTGACACAAGATATATTTTTAGATGTTTTTTTCTGTTCACAAAGAAAAAATGACAAAATTGTGTACCACACATTCATGTAACACAAGGAACAATTGCCATAAACGTCTTAAAAAATGTTAAACGGTAATTATGATCCAGTTAAAAAGCATATAAAAATCCTTTCTTAATTGTAAAATGTTGGGTAATAATTTTACTCTAATAGAAATAATCGTTTTTTAAAAGATTTTCTTATATTGATTTAAAAATTAATTAAAATATCATTTTTGTAATAATTAAAACATCAACAGTATCATACATTAATACAATTTATTTTTTAAAATGTTTCATTTATATTAATCGCAAACAATCACACCTTAAACCATCGAAATAAATTTAAAAGTAAAACTTTTTACTTCCATCTAAAGGTTACTACAAACATAAAAATAAAATTAATATAATGTCAAAGGTAGATGACAATTTAAGAAGTTCTGAAAAGCTATATTTTGAGTATGAAAAGCGAATTTTATTTCATCTTAAAACAAAGATTCAAGGCACAGGTATTTCAAACATTTAAATACAGTGCATGTTTATTTGAAATACAGATCATTCATTTACTAGTTTCTATGATGCTTAATAGTTTTGGAAACTTTTTATACAAAAACTGAAAAGCATTTCCAAAGGTATGTTTGCAATATATTCAAAATAAATGTAATTTCTTAAAAATAAGATGAAAAATTATTTGAATATTTCTTTTTAAAAAGTTGAAACAAACTCATCCTAATGATGCGTACATATATAACAAAATTATATATACAGAAAATTTCTATTATAAATTCACATTCATAAAAGTCACTGATTTTAGAGGACATTTTTTGTTATTTCATTTTTTTTTTTTTTTGGTATCGATTAAAATGTTTATATAGATACAAAAGAATATTTTCAATGAAAAAAATGGGAGGATAAAGATAGATTTAAAAGAGGGAAATCGTGAAAAATATGTATCATCAATAACTGTGAAAATCAATGAGATCTTTGAACATATTTTTTTTCAACGTGTAGTGTATTTTCTTAAGTAAGTCAAAAAATTAAAACCCAGCTTTCACTAATTAACATTTGGTGAGAATTAGAGCTATAGAACTTACCATTTAAAGAAATACGGTACATTTATTTAAATTTCGAAGACCTTTTATTTGGTAAAAGGAAGTAGTCCTGATATCACACGATTAATAGAATATTTACATACTGAAAAAAGTGCATCCTTTAACAAATATTTGAAATAAATATTGTTTATTGAGAAATGGCAAATATCTTTTAAAGCTGTTTTTTCGTACCCTATTTTAATACTATATTTGCTTACTTGAGATAGTTTTCTTAACCTTGCGTTCATAATGCTCAATCAAAAATCGATGAATAAGTGACAGGTAATTCCTTTGTAATACATGAGTATCTTTTCAATAACTATATCTTTTTAAAGTAGACGTTTTGACCCAAGTGTACAAAAGTTGAGTATTGCATTAAATATGTAATTATATATTTCTATAAACTGAGATCCAATATTAGATTGAAACGTTTATCCCACACAAATTTATCTATGAGGGGTCCAATATATATTCCCCTACCGTAGTTTTGAACGCAAATAATGGAAAACATACGAAGCCTACAAGACTAAATTTATTTCTTTCATTACATTGAACTAGAAAGATGTACATTGTAAATTCTTGTGAAAAAAAACTATAAAAATATGTAATTCTAGTGAGTAATTGGATTGTCTTAATAGAGAGAGGAAAAAACGTTGTTACACCAAACAACCAAACGAATACAGACAGAAGAAAAAGCAATGTCTACCAGTCATCTGTCTGATGTTGAAATTGATGGCGTCATTTCCGCAGGGAGGACGACTCCGAATAATAATAACGTTGAAACGGGTAAGAATGTAGAAAATACAGTAGATTCTTTGGCACTGTACATAGATCTAAGGATCGAGTTTGATTCCATGGAAAGTATTTGCAGTTTAAGATTGACTTGACGTAATGCGTAGGTTTAACTAAAAAACAAATTTTGAATTGATTCCATGAGACACATAGCAGTTCTTAGTATTATTATATATTATATATGCACAATTACAAAGCAATCGTTGATCATTTTATGAACATGCATTTATTTTTGTCCATTTATGCATTAAATACCGTTTAATTTATAAAACTTTTTTATTTTTCTTTTCAAGTGAAAAAAGAAATGGCAATGTTATGATACTAAGGGAATTAATAAAAGTCCTTTTTAAGAGCCAGTTTTGCATATGCTACATTAAGTACTTATTAGAAAGCTTTGTAAATCGTTTTATTGTTAATTTTCTTGTACGTAAATATAACTATTACTTTTGAATATTTTCTGCATTTTAAATAAAATAGTACTATACGTATTAAATGTTGATATAACATGCGTTTAATATTTAGAAGATACGCCAAAAGGGGAAGAAAACGTCCAGGGTGAATTCAAAAGGCATTCAATCGGTAATATACTTTTAATATATTATTCCAAATTAAATTTGGAAGACAATGTAATCAATATTATTTATCTGGAGTTTTAATATGCTATATTGTAAATAATATATTAGTTGTTTTCCTAGTCTTAAAAGCAAGATTAAAGAGATGTACGCACTACATGCATTTATTCTGCGAAAGTCAACATAAATGTACCATTATTATCTCGCTTCTCATTATATAATTAAGAACAAAACATATTTTCTGCATAAGGAAAACAAATATGTTTTTGGTTTTGTGCATGAAGGATATGGAGATAACGAACAGTATTCAATCTCAAAGTCCATAAAACAATATACAAAATAGGAGCAGAGCAAACACGGACCTCCGAAACATCAGAGGTGGGATCAGGTGCCATGGAGGAGTGAGCATCCCCTGCCGACCGGTCACACCCGCCGTGTGCTCGTTGTCATGATCAGGAAATAACGGAAAAAATCCGTAGTCAATTCAGTGTATAAATAATGGACTAACAATTGGTATGAAAAACGTCAGTCAGCATTTGACTCAATGATAAATTGTATTTGCTGACAAGGTCATTGTATCGACCATAGAACTTACGAAATGATGACTTCTAATTACATGCATGATCCTAGCATTTATCTTCAAATTAATTATAGCTTAATAAATCTTATTATATCTAGAGCTTTACTTTGCTCGTGATCTTTAACGTCTATTTCTTTCTTCAGGAACCGGACCGCTTCTAATCTCCGTCAGTATATGGTTTGTTGCCATTCCTTTGGTCATCTTTGGGGTCGAGTGGTCAAATATTGCCTTCCATAGCAAGGTTGAAGTGGTCTCCACAATGGTTGTGTATTTTTCCTTCGGAGCCCTGGCGGTTATAGCCTTCTTTGTGACACTGTTACTTAACGCTCTAACTGAGAAAACTCAACAGACGTATTTACAGAAACTATCTAACTACTGGAAAGAGTTGAGGAAAATGCATTTTCCAAAAGCAAACGCTGGAATGGTCATTCAGTTTGTATTATTCATTATCTTCGCCTGTGGGTATACATTTAATACCTTTACTTATGCCGAACATTTGCATACTGATCACGTTGACCAAGGCCTTCTGACGTCATATTCTGTAGTTTGTATTTCATTCATTTGGATTCAAGTAATCGTACTTATATTTCTACAATTCTATGACAAGAAAATATCGAATGGAGGAAAGGTCCTTCGAATGGTTATCATTGTTACCAATGCCTGCAGCTGGATGAACGCTTACTTGTTCGAGTCCTCTGAAATATTTGAAAACAAGCATGAATCAACTTCAAACACCACGTCATACAATATCACAAACGAACATTGCTTCGATAGCATTCACGAAATCGCAGAAATAATGTTCGCCCCAGTAACTATTGAATACACAATGATGGCAATCGGGTTTTTATTTCCGACTGCGTTGGAAGATGTAAAATACCAAAGGAGTTGGAAGATGACCAGCTTGATTATAGCCTCCTTGATTATTTACGAAGCAAGTGTATTTGGATTCTCCATGTACGTTGTTTTGCAATGTACAAAAATTGATGAAACAAAAGGAATTCCCATAGAATTCTTATTCTATGTCATTCTAATTGCTATTTTGTTCACAGCTATGATAGCTCTTCTCATAGTGTGCGTGATTCTAAAATCACGGTCCAAACTTCGGAAGTCGAAAGACCAACATTTACACATGGGATCTTTTATATTACTAGTTACTGCTTTCGGAAATAATTTGTACCATCTTTTGAATTCCATTGCAGTCTTGGAGCTGGATTCCATATCTGTTTCCTATAAAAGTGTCGCTTTTATACAGAACATTTTAGGACTTATCCTTGCTTTTCTACAAACTTGGTTTCTTCTAGCCATTCACAGATATGACGTAACGGACGAAACCCGAAGGAATCCGAACAGCGATAGTGGATGTACCTGCCATGCTAAGACAAGTCTAAAACATAGCTGCCTCGCTCTCGCGGTAATGAACTTTGGATTGTGGACCTACGGAAGCATTGCCGAAATCCGGGAACCTGTCCTCTCGTACTTACAGCAGAAATATTACACCGGACCTTCGTGGAATGTGATACTGAAGATTATTTTTCCTTTGACGATTTTTTATCGATTCCATTCATCAATGGATTTTCTTAATTTATGGCTACATTTTGCAAAGGAAGATTGAACTTGGAGAGAAATTGAAAGAAAAAAAAGCAAAAGTTCACGATTCTTTTTTTTTTTAATGAAATGTCAAATTGTGAATGTTGAAAAAAAAACTTGTGCTTCATTCAATCATTAATTTATTATAACCACGATAAAGATAGTGTACGAAGATGGTAAAATAACTTAGAAAGATCTGATTTGCCTTTTGTGTAATAATAATACAAGATGTATGTAAATGAATTTTAAAGGTTTGCACGTGTGTATCTAGCTGTTATTTAGCACTAAATAATTTTGTCTGATTGGTTTTGTTGTAATTCTATTTGTGAAAAGCTTTTCTTTTGTTACAGTTCCTTATAATGTTTTTATATCTTCTTTGATTTGATAATTATTTGTTTATTAAAAGTTTTGTTCTCTAATTTTCCCTTTGTGATTAATCATCAATTTAGATTTGTTATAATGCAATGCTTATTAATTATAAGGAAATAATTTACTTTTACTGCACACCTAGTAAATAAACATATCTAATTAATTGTGATGTACAATAATATTATGCACCATTCATAAAAAAAAATAATTTATCCCAACCTAGTAATAGGACTATTCAGTAAAATTAAGTAAACGTATAATCGTACCTTACGTATACCTTTAATTAAAATTGCACTTCTTTTTTGTCATACTTGAGTAAGCCTTAAAACCAAGAAGTAACGGGGTGAGTGATTTATCCAACATATTCTCTGTTCGTTCAGTTACAAGTATATTATTTTATTTTTCCATGTTATTAAAAACATTGTATAACTTAGCTAATAGTAATTTAGAGTAACAATATTTAATATCCAACTCTTCTCATGGAAACCATGCATTTATCAAAATAGTTCGCATACTTTGGAGCGTAACACACAGCAAAATTGTTGAAATAATAGCATATGGTTGATTAAAGACTTAAAACACTATTTTGATGTTTGACATCATTTATTCGTTGAAATGGGAATGCATAATTCGAAAGAAAAAAGTGGAGTTACACGGTAACGGATAACATTGTTCTACTTCTGTATTGCGTAGTACAAGTATATATCTGCAATTTGTTTCATTGTAAAACAGCAAAAAAAATATATACATTAAAAATTATATTTATGAAACCGAATATATAAAGTCTCCAGATATATTTTTATTGAGGTATAATTATCTAAGTTATTTACAGGCCCAGTTGTCTATGATTTATTTAGAAGACTTATTCTCTAGAAGAAGCATCAGGCGCTCCCCTAACGGATCCTCGGCGCGCCTGGCTTTCCTCTCCATAAGAAGAGATCTAGCGAGGGCATGGTGGTCAGGGTTAGGGGATTTAATCGCAGAATGCAGCAAAAGTTGAATGAATGTATCTCTCTGAAAAATATTAATTTCCCTGCATGTTACTATGTAAACGATTGTTTATGTGGAACCAATAAAACATCTGAAAATAGTTCGTTCGGATGATTCAGTACTGGGCACTACAAATGTTTTAAAAATTTGTTTATAAAACAACCAAAATTTAGAAAAATATATAACCAGACAATAAGTAATGTGACTCTTAATCCTTTTGCATTTATTGTTAATTAGATTCTTAAATTTTAGACCTGCATTGCTGTTCTTCTATTTGTTGAATTAAGCTAATGGCCAATAAGATTATCTATGGAATCAGTACCTGTGCAATGCTCCCTCCGATTCTGTGAAGTGACGCACGTATGGAGTTGAGACAGTTTGCCGCGGTTTCCATGTGTCCTTCTTCGTGCGCTGTTATCCCAGCACATAGCCGTATTCCCACGTCATGCGTTACCTGGGCGTTTGTGGCGGAGTTATCTCTGCATATAGATAGTAAAATGTTCTTAAGTACAGATCCACGTAACAATCAAGCAGTACGTGATGCTGGGATTCTCAGAAAGGAATGGTTCTTAACTCACATTTTTCTTTGACTACCAGTATATCATGTATTTAGAGACGCAAGAATTGTTTGAAACGGTGAAATGACTGGTCATCAAAATGCTTAATCAGCAAAAAATGGGAAACATGTAGATCTACCTGAAATCAATGTGTCTATTGCAAAAATATTTAAGTATGTATATTTCGTGTTAAGCTACATGAGAACAATAAATAAAAATCACTGATTTACTTTTCATCAAAACCTTTCAAACAATTCTTGCGTCTTTTTTTTACATAAAGCCAGAGAAAACTAACCTTCTTTTGAAAAATATAGACTTTATATATGTATTTTCAAATGATCGGCTTAAGCATAATAGGACAATAATATACAAGTAGATTACATACATAGTGACTGAGGAATTATATAATGCCAACGTTTAAAGTTTGTAACCATGGGAATTCATTATTTACTTTGCAGAACTTACTTCACATATTGTTTTAACTCTTCAAGCATACTATGTGCACGCTCTTTTTCTCCGTTTCTATGTAAACAGAGTAGAATGTGTGCATCCAGATACATCCACATGTGTTGGCCCGCTAACTTATCCACATGATCAAGAATGCTTTTCCATCTTTGTGGGGCATTTATATCTACAAGACATTTGCATTTCAAAGGTTTCATGTTTTTAAAAATTACAACACTTATTAACCTATTTTTCATATAATAGGCATCTGAGTTGTTTAAATAAGTAAAATTAGGTTTTAAAAACATGTATTTTCGAAAAAAAAAAAGATATTTGTTGAAAAGTTTCGATAAATATACTCAAATTTTGGACTGGTTATTTAACTGTGCGTGCTTTTTCCTGAAACGATTTTTCCCCAAGAAGAACAAGCTTTGTGTTTTGTCCTAAGAGTGAATAATATAGCTTACCTTCAAAAGACAAGCGATACAACAGAGACGAAGCATCATTGAAATTTCCTGGACTCCCCATTCTTGTTAAAATCTGTAAATGAATGAATAAATGAATAAATAAATAATATACAAACATAATTCACGAAGCTTCTTTTAGATTATAATTTTCAAAAACATTATCAGATTATAATCCACTGCGAAAAAAGGGGTGTATTTTATAATATATTTGCTACTTTACAATAGTAAAAGATTAATTAAAAACAATATCACATCCTTTATTACCTTTTCATCAAATGTCTTCACTGCATCATCAAATTGTCCCTTAAAAGAATGAATGTCTCTTAAAAGTTAATACACGGATCACATTTTATTCAGGTTTCTGTTACTATGTTGCATAATAATAAAAATGCGAATCTGAATTAACTTTTGCTAGTGAATCAAAGTATTAAATCAAATACCTTTTCGACATAAAATAAGGCTTCATGCCAGGCAATGTGACACGCCAAGCTTGCTGACTAAAACAATGATAAACAAAGTTAATAATTATACATGTATAATGTACCATTCAAAGCAATATAAAACAAACGTGAAATAATTTACTTATTACAATTTTTATTCCATGACATGTTTATTTTTCAATCATGTTCTACCCCCACGAAAAAGATTTCTCGCTGCTTAATGGTCGTAAGTGCCGAATGTAGTACAAAATTTGCAGTTCTCCACCAGCAATTGGCGGAGTCTCCATACGAGTGAAAAATAAATCGAGAGGGACGTTAAATAACACACAAACAAACAAACATCCTGACCTCCCAGTATTTGGCTTTACTCTGAAGGAAGGCCAATCCTGCGTCCAGCATGCCTTTCTCTAGGTGAATATGAGCCATTGTATGGATCGCAAAAACTTCGCCTGGAGAAACGGCTAGACTCTAAAATATAAATGTAGTTTATATAAACTAGAACTGTCCAATAGGGACAAATACCCCCGCTGGGTTTTTCAGAGAAGGTGCCAATTCAAAAATACTTTATGGATCTAGAGGTGTTCACAATTTACTTACAAAAATTTGCAGTGAAATATAATTGCTCATCATGTTTCTTAATGAATGAAACAAAGGTGCAACCAAATGAAACATCAATACTAATACATTGTAATTCCACTGTAACATTTTTTTTTATTTTTTTATTTTATTTTCTTTTTATTTCTGCATTTAAAAATATATTGCAATTATGTGTTATGTCACTCTGCAAACTGATTGTTAAAAAACATAATACAAAATCAAATTAATCTTGATATATCAATTTGAAATGCATTTTGAAAATAAAGACCTGTCATCAAGTAATGAAGTGTTTTGACAGACAATAAATTACAATTAAGAGAATAAGAGAAGAGAGATCTTTAATTCTTGTGCCTTATTCCCTGGAGATTAGATAACACACACGCTTGATAAGAGATATGCCTTCACAACTTCCAACACCAAACTCATTAATTTATCTTTAACAGGATGCATGTCCAGTCATTATTCCCAAGAGACAAATGAAATTACATTATCTTCTGTGCAATGTAAAAACTGTTTTTAACACTTGATGATGTTTCTTTTTTTTTTAAGTTTTTATGAGTAGTTTTTTGAACAGATATTCTAGATTCTATATCTCAAACCTTATACATGAGCCCAAAATGAACATGTCAATTAAAATAAAAAATAAAACCTGTAAAATGCAAAAAAATTAACAAAAAGAGTTGAAAATTCCAGGTGCACACCTTCATCTGGTGAATAATAAGTGTACAAATTTTCAGATTAATCCTTGCAATAGTTTCTGAGAAAAGGTCCGGACAAAACCACAAAATAAAAATGAAAAAAACACCTGTAAAATTCAATATAATAATCGAATCAAGATGAAAATATCAGGTGCGCAACTTCATATGGTGAATAATATGTGTACAAATTTTCAGACAAATCCTTCCAATAGTTTCTGAGTAATGGTCCGGACAAAATCTCGTCTACAGACAGACGGACAGACGGACATGGTGATTCCAATATACCCCCCCTAAACTTCGTTTGCGGTGGGTATAATTATTTCTGTCTACTGTATTTTAATATATATTATCTAAAAATTTATTGTATTAATTTTTACCTTTTAATTTGAAACATCTATTGTATATAGAAAATAAAGATGACGGGTGAGGAAAAATGCAAATAGGGGTTGAATTTTTGTATTTGGTGTATGTATATAATCAATAAATGTAACTTTTATTTATCAGTCATTGGTGTTAAGAAACTTTTTAATTCTTATTTTTCCAACTTGTGGTTCTAGACTCAAAAAAGGTAGACAGCACAATGTTCATTCAAATATGTAACAACAGTTTACAGCTTGATTGCTAGTATTAGAAACGGCTAAAATGATTTTTGAAAAGCATATTAATTTTGAAGATTTTGGACCCATTCTCAGGCCAAAACCAAGAGCTGTATAGAGAGGTATAAGCCTAAAACTAAAAATTGTTTTAATGAAATTGAAGAGTCTCAAGTAAAGTATTTCAATACAGACCATTGAAAAAGAATGGTAGGGGCATAATGACAGAGACCAGAAGGAAAAAATAATGGTTATACATGTACATTTTTGAGAGAGGGACCCATCTCTTCCCTAGACAGTAGTAATTTATCAAAATTTAATAAATGATGTGAAGAAATTAACTTTTAATTGAATTTAATTAAATTTACATTTGATTCGACAAAAAAATATTTACGCTTCTTGTTTTATTCTATGAGATAAGAAAATTATTGACCTTATATACATCTTGCTCAGCTTCCACTAACTGCATATTTTCCTCGTGTGCAAAGGCTCTCCATCCGAGAATAGTGCTAAAAACGAAAAAAAAAATGAAAGACTGATTACAATGGTTAATCAAACAATAATATTTAAAGAGTTTATGAGGATTCTTCCTCACAGCTTTTCAAACTCAATCCTTGTTAACCTTAAATTTTCAGTTTTCCTTTGACAGATTTTTTTCCCTTAATACTCTGAAATTAACCTAGAATATTTAACCTTTTGTATGTTTAGTATACAGAATAATTGTAAGATTCTTCTTTGATTTTCGCATCAATAAAAATTTTGCAGGAAAATGTTTGCAAAAACAGATTTTCACTTGGTTATACATGTACCATTACAAAGTGGAGTATGCCGACCATAAACTGACCTATACCCCGGGGTCTCGGGATGATACGCCTCCGCCACGAAGGTCATCATCTCTAATAACTCCTTAGACATTCCTAGTTCGTAGTATTTAAAGAAAGCCATCAGACATGCAAATAAATCGGTTGGTGAATCATTTAATATGCTTCTATATGTAGCAGCAGCCTGTAACGTGTTCCTACAAAAAACAAAAAAGGATATAAGCATGTTGAATTTAATGAAGATGTTACAGTATGTTTCATTCCAATAAGGAAACGAATCTCCTTTAGTTTAAGACAATATTAGTTGTCACGAAATATCTGCCTTCCTAATTTTCATTTTTTACCAAAACATTGATACTCCAGTAAAGAATAGATAACATGAAGTGCGCAAAAAATGTAACATTTTACCCTTCTGCCACTTCTTTTAATGCTGTCACGTGTTTACTTTCTCTTTCCGTTACTTTCTGTTTCATAGCCTGGTTTGAAATGTCCACCACGGCTTTCTTAACTTCCTCTGTATCGCTCTTGGAGCCACCACATTTCATAGAATTTACCAACACCTGACCCATAACTAATGAGGCATAAAACACAAACTGTTAGTGAAATGTAAGACTTTTGATCAGTATGACTGCACTACAATTTAAAAAAAAAAATTATTTTATGTACTTTTATAAATGCACTGCAGTGAATTTATATCTTTTATCATTCATTGTTGAACATTCTAAATTTGTAAATAATTTTTCTATAAGGTGAAAATGATTCACAAAAACTATCAGTCTATTGAAATTACTCAGAACACTTGAAATGACAATTGGAGATTGATAAAAAGAATGCAAGAATACTATCTACTATTATACTATTTATTATAAAAACAAATGAAAAGAAAACCGATTTATATACTATTTATTATTGGTCGTACCGAAGTTAGGGTCGGCTTCCAGCATCTTTTTAAATGTGTTACCGATCCCTCCCATCTCGGTGTCTGGATACATGGACGTTAACTATATAATACATTATAAATATAATAAACCATAAGATATCATAATATATCAAAAGATGTCATAATTTATCATAAGATGTCCTAATATATCAAAAGATAGAAGTTATCTGTTTTTCTGTACCCTAGAGTCCAAAGTCACTTTTTGTTAGGATTTCTTTTTAAATTAAAATAACTTAAATTTTAAAAAGTGAATATGTTACAGTTTTTTTTATTCCTATACGCAACTAATCTCGGCCAAGATTTGTTTAATTATTGGAATAAAAATACCATTTTTTTATGGCTGTTTTGATATTTTCGTAATTCAGTTATTAATACGATCATCTGCAAGCAACAAATGAAAAAAAAAAAAAAAAAAAAAAAAAAAAAAAAAACAAGAAAAGAGACCTTTTACACGTAATTAATACATGCATACATATACATATTATATGTGTAAAAAATTATACATAGTGTATAAACAAAGTCATGTTTTATTGCAATCTTAAACATGTTAAAGCAATTTATGATGTAAATGTATAATGAGTTAATGTCTGTAACAGTATTTTGTACATGTAGGCCTTTGAATAAATATATGTATAAATGCATATTTATTAAATATGCATTTATACATATATTTATTCAAATATTAAATACCTGTAAAACATGTATTTATGCACTATGTAGTTATAGCAATGTATGAAATAGATGGATATAAGGAAAAACATTCAAGCTCAAAAGTCAATTAAGTACAAAATATGAGCATAGTAAACACGGACTTCCAAAACATCAGAGGTGGGATCAGGTGCCATGGAGGAGTGAGCATCATTCGCCGACCGCTCATACCCGCCGTACCCTCCTTGCCATAATCGGGAAATAACGGGAAAATCCGTCGACAACTCAGTTTTTAAAAAATGGCCTAACAATCAGTTTGCTAATTGATAAACTTCAGTCAACATTTGACTCAATGGTAAAATGTATTTTCCGACAAAGTCATTGTATCGAACACAGAACTTAAGAAATGATGACTTTAAAAGAGACTGCTGATATTCTTGTTTCATCAATTTGTTTGTCAATAATTTACCTCGTTTAACAAATTTTACATATGTAGAACATGCTCTTGCGTTTCGAATCAACTAAGAGATATAAACCACGTATGCAAAACTTAATGAAAAACGGGATTGCTCTAACTTTTCTGTCATCAACTTCCCTTACTTACGTAAAAATTTACCCTTCACACTTATACATGTATAGGGGGCTTATGTAACCTAACAAATTCTTTACGCAAGAACATAATTACCCGAAAACAATTTATGAAATGAGGAAAACTATTGACAAACTAGTTGTTGAAACAAAATTACTAAAACAGAATATTCAAAATTTTGCAAATTCTATGGAGCGACACAATGACCTGGTCAGCAAATACAATCTATCATTAATTAGGTCTAATGCTGACGTTTTTCATTCTAAATGTCAGGTAAATACTCACACACTGAATTGTTTTCGGGTTTTCCCGTATGTTGGATCATGATTTAAAGAGCACACAGCGGGATAGTCCGAAAAATCTGACGTTTTTCTGGCTTTTTTTTACGATTTTGATATTTTACATGCCAGGAAAACGTCAGAACCGGCGCCATTACGAAAACAGGGAATTTCACCGTCTCCACCCGAAGTTGATTTTCTACACTTGGGAACCGAATTAGATGCCGAAATCACAATTTATCAATGGCACAATGCTCCTTGAACTCACCAATATCGATGAATAGAAATTACCACTCCACATTCCGATTCAGAACTTGCACGATTTTAAAATGCACGAAATGAAAACAAATCTCAACAGTCAGATAAAATGTGTTCATCGGATTATATCATTTCATAAACGAAACATAAAAACGATGTTGGTGAGTACTAAAGGTGTTGTACCATTGGTAAAATGTGAATTCAGCATTTAATTCGGTTTACAAGTATCGAAAATCAACCTCTGAATGCCGCCTCCGGTTGGAGGCGGCGATTTCCCAGTTTTCGTAATGGCGCCGGTTCTGACGTTTTCCTGGCATGTAAAATATCAAAATCGTAAAAAAGCCAGAAAAACGTCAGATTTTTCGGACTAACAGCGGGAGTGACCTTTCGACATGGGATGCTTACTCCAACAGGCACCTGATTCCACCTCTGATAATTTGGAGGTCCGTGGTTACTCTGCTGGCAGGCAGTACTTTTTCAATGGATTTTTGAGCTTGAGCATGGTTCGTTATCTCTATATCTCGTGAACTTTTCATGCGTGTCCTTATGGTGCATGTATATATACATAAATATTTGAAAGTTCTTTTACACATAATTGTGCACATTGTAGTAACTGTCATGTAATTATACGATCTAAAAGCAACCAATAATAAAACATATAAAATACAGTTAATGCATTATACATGATTAATTTTCAATGTTTCACTGAGTAATTATTTCATTTCAGAGGTGATGTCATAATTAAAGTGAAGAAATACTTGTGTAATGGCGGCATCAAACAGTCTGCAGGCTTCGTCGTTGGAGCAGGTCATGGGAAGATTGGAGTTTCTCCATCCCTGTCAATAAACGTGTGTATTATCACAAATAACTTCTTAAAAATATTTTGATAACTTCTTGTTAAGTTCACCATTTGTAAGTAAAAATTTCAATTGCGTAGTATCACTTCATGGGTGAATTTCAAATATCTATAAAATGGGTAAAACTTGATGAGAATTTCTGATTTTAATTAATGCAAGTATCATTACAAGAAAGGATTTTTGCTTCCGTTGAAACCTTGTTCATTTCTTTTTAATGAATTAAGATTATTTTGAGAGAGACCTTCATTTAAACTGTCTAGCAGGATTTAAGAATATATGCACAAATCTTAAAACAAATCAAGCCTAGAATTTCGACCAATGTCGTTTTTCTTATAAATCAATTTCCTTATCTTAAGGAGCTGATAAACATTTAATAAAGAAACATTCGATAGATATCAATCTCTTATGCTAGCAGCCTAAAGTTACTGAAATTCCATTACATCCCCGACGACTCTCCGTACATTTAAAACATTAAAAACATATTTTATTTTTGTTGTTTTTAATTAGAATTTGATCGTCCCGCTTGTTAAATGATTTTTTTTTAATTCCGTTTTTCTTACCTGACAGTCCCTCCACGATCTCTTCATTCTGTTTTCGATATATTCCACAATCCGCTTATTGTGTTGATTTAGTCACATGCACGACCTAATTATAGATCGACCGGAATGACGAAGTTAAATACTTACGGTCATACAATGTGAATATAAGATAAATATGTGAAAAAACATAAGTATCACATGTAAAACTGCGTACGCTTAAAAATATGTTGATACGCTAGTCCGCGTCTAAAAATTGATTGTTCAGTGAACTGCCTATCGATTTAGGTATGTAAAAAAGTAAGGTTACGCCTCGGGACAAAAAATAAATCGGAAAAGTTTGTTTACTTTTGTAAAAAAGGCTTTGAATAAAATAATGCCATTGGTGTAAACTTTAAAATATCTCTATAGTAAAACAGGGATACTATCATAAATACATGTATAAAACTTGTTTAAATAAGGGCTTAGATTGCATATTGTAATCTTTAATAATTTTTAGTAACCTATTAACTTTAAACATATTTTTTTGTCGCTGGAGGGTATAGAATTCTAATATTGTTTATTTCCCTCGCTTAAAAAATGTCTGCTTAAGTTTTAAACGTCTATCTTCTTCACAACATATACAATATCTAAGTGTATCTAATTCACTATATGGGTTTGTGAAAACAGGAGCGGATCAAAAACATTTGCATGGCTAGCAAAGATGTTATTTTTCTATTTTATTTATTTATTATAATTTTTCTACACTTATGCCACTTCCTTATTCCGAATTTGAAGTTAAATATAGTGAATAAATTATCACATGTACGTGTGTAATTTAGGTTCTCTTTTTAAAATGCGTAGTTCGTCTAAACGTCTATGCTATGAGATAATGAACTCTAATAAGGTCAAGTGGTTGTGCGAAGTGCAATGTATTTTGCCGTTCAATCTTGGTATGACTAAAATAAGGTTATGTATTTGGGCTATAAATTTTGTTGTCTCTTGTAAAGCAAATCAGACACAGACTCTAAATTGTACATTACATACTTAATCTAATTATTTAAAGCTAGGTATATTAAGTATATTTTTGGATATTACGTTGAGTAAATTTCCCTTCGCGCTATATTTGTTAAAACATTTCACGTAAGGTTTTTCAAATTGAATGTAGAATAATTTAATTTCAGTTGTATCACGCAATTTCATTGGCTGAATCATTCAGAGGAACATATAATATTATGTATAACATAATTGCCTACGTCACAATGAGTCACGTCAAAAACGTATTGCTCCGCTTAACGTTACTTTTAAAATAATGCTCAATTTGAAGCCTTTTTCTGGAGGAAATATTGTCTCAATGTCTACACGAAAATTAAGTTATAAGTAATGAAGCTGATTTCAACTTAATATGTTATCCGATATAACAGAACTTGGGGCAGTTTACGCTTTCTAAAAAAACTGCTTCGCGGTTTATAAAGCGTAAACTGCCCCAAGGTATGTTATATTGGATAACATAAGTTTAAATAAGCTTCATTCCTTAAATAATTCTGAAAATTAAATTCTTTAAAAAATCTGTTAAAGTGGTCGAGTAAGGTTATTTCGGAAAATCTAATGCAAAAGGTTACCCGACTAGGCTACAAAAATAATTTATAATCCTTTTTTTCACACAAGATTGTCTACTGATTTTCACATTAACATAAACAGGTCGAGACCACTAGATTTCCTGACGTCAGAATAAATTTGCATGTAAATTAGCTATATGTTTACTTTACCCACTGATGAATGAGTCGCAATGCATTGTGGGATACTACAGGTACTCAGCTGTGTTGAAAATAAAGGGTAACTTAAATTGTCCCTTGGAAACCTATTTTCAATTTTGTTTTGAGAATTGTGGAAGAAATATTTAAAATAATGTATAATCTTTCATGTCAATGCTCACATTTACAAAATTCCCTTTTTGAAGCCTTATATCAACTTATAAAACATCGGCCTTAACCATTGCTCAAAGAGACGTAGACCTGTGTTACATGTATCGTGTCGATAAAACATTGAGTTTGTTTTCACGAGATATACGTGTACATAGTTTTAGCAGGTAGTATATAGGTCCTTGATTTTAGACAGCAGGAGAAGGTGTTTAATTATTATTTAACCCCTCAATATTATTTTATGTACATGCAGACGTCAAAGCGTCTGTACGGTATTCGAAGCAACTATTAATCATCTAAAACAACTCCAATATTAAATGTACTAGCATGGAGCAATGTCTTTACAATATAATCTTTCAATTTTGGTCTGATAAAGTGATTAAGAAGCTCTACAGATTTTCTGGTGACGAGTTAAAAAATGTGTAGTAAACCGACGAAAACCACGTGTCGCCATTGAATCGTGAACACGTAGTAGAGTGTCATGCTTTGGGACTCATTCACTTGATTGGAGAACGGGTGTGACGAATACATCGTCACGTGTCGAAAATTGCCTTCCATATAAGGTAGCGATCTCGACCTGATAAACAAAACAAGGAGTAAACGGCCGTTTTTGGCCATTTTACACTATGAAAATGACGAAAAATAATGAAACACAAAAGTCCCTTTAAAAAAAACAGGTTAATTTAAACAATAAAATGCTTTCTTTGTTTGTTATTACTGGAATTAACGGAAGCAGCTGTTGCAGAAAAAATACATTTACGCGGGTTATGTAAATTTTTTCTGCAATAGCTGCGACCGTTAATTCCAGTAATAACAAACAAAGAAAGACATTTTATTGTTTATATTCATATCTGTTTAAATAATCATTTAAAGAAGGATTAAAAAGTTTAATTATTGTATGATGCGAACGTCTTTATACGTTTCATTGATGGAACAGCCACTGATCAAGAAATCTGTATAGGCGACATCCCTAATGTAGTTCATGCAGTGATTAACGCAATGGGTTTCTTAAGAAATAAAAGAGAAAATATTCAGTGGATGTAAATATAGCAGATCAAACACGGACTTCTATATACATCAGATGTGGGATCAAGATTCGTGGCAGAGTGCATTTCCCTTGTCATCCTGTCACACCCGCAAGTATGTTCATTATAATGATTCCGTACTTATATAGTATAAATACATGCACCGGTAACGGTATACAAATTGGTAAGGAATTAAAATTAAAAGTCAGTTACCAACGAATGATAGATTGTATTTGCCGTCAAGGGCATTGTGTCGAACCTAGAGCTTACTAAAAAAATTACTAAAAACAATACTATTAATATGCTTGTCAATATTTTGGTCAGTAGTGTGTTTCGTTTTAGAAATTATTCATCTGTAGAACATTTCTTTCGTATCAAATCAACTGAGAAATAAAATCCCCATTTGCAGATAGAAAAAAAGGTATATTGCTACATAAAGTTGACGATAAAAAAAATTATCGTAAAGTTTTCAATTGATTTTATATTATAACTAACGTCTTTTTTATTAAAATATCCCAATAGATAACAGTTCTGTGATATCTTTTAATTCAAGTTTTATATATATTAGGGATGTGCGATTTTATCGGTATACCGGTATATCGCGATTTTTTGTTGCGTGATACGTATCGTGATACGGAGACCTAAATACCGGTATTTGGGTACATATTATGAAGTCCAGAAATTATTCATTTATTTGTTCAATCATTTAAATTACAATTATAGTAAGTCTAAAAAATGTTGTAAAAGGTGAAAAGAACAGCATCTTACCATCCAAACATGATCAATTGTATGTACATAAATATTTCAAAAAAGTGAAATTTTGTTTTTTTTTAGCATATTCTAAAAAAAAATAATGACATTTCATTAAAAATCATTGTAAAATTGATTGTAAAAATATCATGATATTATCGTGATATTTTTGGGGGAAAATCGTGATATATCGCGATACGTAATTTTTGGCGATACCCATCCCTAATATATATATATATAATTATAATATCGATCCCGCAGGTGAATAGAAATATAACTGCTATATATCTAAATGTCGTGTTGAAGACCACAGAAAGTGCTTTCTTCTCACGTGTAAGTTCTTAGATATATTCTGTTTCATATGAATAAAATAATAAGTCTGCCTAAACGGGCTGCTATTGGTCATCACCATCGGAACTTCATTAGATTGTTGGAAAATGCAATCTTCAAAAACTACATAGACCACGCAATAAAAAACTCAAGCATCTGTTACATCAATTCCAACGTACTTTTGTATACAATTAGAGTGTTATAACAAGATAACTTTGCAAGTGAGCAATGACAATCATGGGGGTTTTTTTTAGGTCCGTTTGAAGTATACGCACCTGTTTATGCTGACAAATAGCCTTCAAAGTTGACATTAAATTATCGTGTTGAATGGTTGTATAAAGTGTTAATGATAGTCCTAAATTTTCTTTTTTACTGCTGTTTTTATTTTTGTGAAGAGAAAAAAAACCCCAGACGCAACGATTATTTATTGCGACCCTCTATGAATCCATGTTTTACAGGAATTTTTAAGAAGTTAAGGAATCAAATATAAGTATGTTAATTCAAATTCCTTTTCATTGTTGAAGTTATTAAAATGATCAAAACTGACGTAATTTTGAAGGAATATCTACCTTTAAATTAAGTGGAACATTTTTAAAAGATAAAGTTCAAGCTGGAGATGGACTCTTGCTTTAGACGCTGGATCTTAAGATTTTTTTGGACATAGGATTGAAGTATGTTATTTTTCTGAGCAGGAAAATCCAAGTAACCATTTTTCTTACTTTGTCAAGATTGACTGCGATTCATGCAGATGTTCATTACTGGAACTTTCATTAAATGAACAACTCTGTGTCCCTATTGATAGTATTCAGTATTTTTGATTGTTTAGTATGTTTTATCCAGGAGAAAATGGAATGCTGTGAACTGATCAAAGTTTATTTCAGACCTACATGATTTCCCAGACATTTTTATCTCGTTACTGTTTTATCGATTTTTCTTATCACAGTCTAATATTTGAAGGAGTTATGACTATCCTTTTTTACAACTTGTATAAATATCATAAACCTATTTTTTATCGGAAGGAAAGACCAATGTGACGTACAATACATATCAAGTTAGAAGGACTTATGAGTATAAAATCAACTCTTATGTAGTGATTTATTTCTTTCTATAACCAATGTGAACATTTTTTTTTATCCAACATAGCTTGTGCAGGTAGGTAAAACGTATCTAAACATTAATTTAAAAATATTTTTCTTTACTTAGGAATAAGAAAATATTCAGAAAGGATATCGTATGTATTAACAATTATAGATCTTTATATGTGTTATTCATCGTTAAAATTTTGTCGTACACAAACTTGAATGACCTTTTTTTGTAGGCTGCAGTCTATTGTAGGATTATAGTCTTGAGTTTTAAATCCATACACGTTTAACATTGTAACACTCTTATCTGATAATATATATTTTTTAATGAGACAAAGCTACTTTATCTATTATGTCAATGGATATACTGTATATTTGCATTTGTCCGTCATGTCATTTTCAAAACTTTATTAATGCTTAAAGATAAATTTTTATATTTCGTATTAGGCAACCATTAATATTTGAATATTTTATTGGTCTTCACAAATTAATATGACAAGTTTGTCTTCTTTAAGTGTTAAATTTAAGTACTGTAAATCCATTGAGTACTGCAAACCCATAAAGTTTTAGTAGTAATGTTGCATCAATTTGACACAAGACGAATATGTAACACAAACATCTTTTTTTAAATGATGACACTAAAAAAAAAAAATAACTGAAAAATGATTACTGACTTAAGACTGAATCTTTCAAATTCATAAATTACTACGGGTTTTTATTTATTTAGATAAAACTATGTCTTATTTTTGTTGTTTTATATCTCAAAAAGAGGATGAGAGTAAAACAACTTTACTTTTACTTTTAAATTTATTTTGCGGCTGTGGGGTCATAACTTCCGGTCAAAACACTGGCAAAAGCTGACAATTGCTCTTAGAACAATAAGACAAGCTTAAAGTCGTTTAAATACATGAAACATTGTATTATTACTACACTCACAGTGTGGAAGCTGTTCCACATAATTTAAATCGGGTTCGATATTCTACTTAGTTTGCATGCGCTCATGAAAGTGAAAATAGGAAATATGTTTTAGGTAGGATTTGTATCAGTATTATAAATATTAATTACATGCTCTTTTTTACCACAAAAATATTTGATACAAAGCAGCTCGTTTTTATTTTTTAAAAAGTCAATTCTTTATTTTATATAACACAAAACAGAAAAAAAAATTAATGCTGAACTCAAACAGTTAATTGAAATCGGACGCATTATAAACATGATAAAATTTTTATATTTAAAATTCATACATTAATTATTTCATGAAAGTTAAAAGTTCTTATAATCATTAAACGAAACGGTTTAAGCAAAAAGATTGCATAATATGCAATACCGCGTTATACAAGACTGTGTTCTGTGTATATAGATAGGTACCATACATGTATAAACATAGTCATTTCCTTGGGACTTCAACGCCATTTCGATTAAGGTCTACCCCACACCAAACTTAAATGAGGAAAAGTGACCGGTTATAAAATATGGGTTTTGAAAGAAATAATTCGTAATTAAATCATATTTCCAAATAAACGATCAATGTATCCCTTATCTGCTGATTTATTCATCTACATGTAATTATGGAAAATTTTATTTGTTTTAGGATAACCTCAGACTGTATTGTATGTTATTGATGCACCGTTCAAATATATTTAACTATGGAAAAAGAAGTACCATTCACAGTATACATGCTACAGTTAGCCACCAAAAATTCTCTAGACGAAGAGGATATTGAAAGATCTTCCCCGGATTTATGCACGGAACTTCACCTTGCGATATTAAATAGGGATATAGATGCATGTCGTAGAGAGGTACAAAAAATCGAGCATATCAATAATAAAGATATAAGAGGCGATTCAGCACTTCATTTAGCAGTACGCTGGATAACACCGATAGGGGAAGATTTAGCAAACAAATTGGTTTCTGCTGGGGCGAATGTTAATATTCGGAACAAATGGTGCCAGACTCCACTACACTATGCCGTCTTTGCTGGTTCTGGCCGCAATGTAAGTTGTTTACTGGCACAGACAAATATAGACGTGAATGCTGCTGATGTAAATGGTTACACACCCTTGCATTGTTGTTTTCGGTACAAATTAGACCATGAAGGAGAAAGTTTCGATAGAGGAGGAATTTTTAGGAATGAAGGAGATGATTTGCTAGAAATTGCAGACAAACTTATATTAGCGGGTGCAGACATTAATGCAACTACAAAATATGGAAACAGCATATTACATCTTATTGTTAGAAAAGATGACAATTCAGAACTTTTGAAGTTAATGTTGGAAAAGTACTTAGGATTCAATGTCTATATAAAAAATTATATGGGGGAGAATTTCTTGCATGTATATGTTACAAGTGAAGTTATTGAAAAGGTCATTGAAAACATAGAGTTCATTTCCATAAACCTTTCCGAAGAGGCAGTAAAGACCTTGCTTAATGATAAAGACATATATGGAAGAGCACCTTGGGCAAACATGATAGATACAGGAAATATTGACGCGGATTCGCTCGTAAGGATGATAGAACTGGGCTCTGATATTTTTTCTGCAGATTGTATGAAAAACACAGCTTTACACAGGTTAGCTGGAGTAAGTTGGGGAATTTCTTTTCTTGATATATTGGAAATACTTATGAATGCAAATGTGAACTTGAACTCAAAAAATGTGTTCGGAGAATCAGCTGCGTTTGTTGTCTTTCAAGAAGAAGTGTTCAGTGTTTTGATGAAAGGAAATGTGGACTTCACTTTAAAAGATCGTTGGGGTAGATCTCCTTTGATGTCAGTACTTAAGCATAGGCCCATACCTGAATTGATTAGGAGGCTTATTATTGAAGGAAATGTTGATGTCAACGCTGTTGATGAAAGCGGTTCCACTCCTCTTCATATTGCGGCATATCACAATTTTGAAGAACAAGTAGAACTCTTACTAAGCCATGGCGCAAATGCCTTTGCTGAAGACAACTTAAAAGAAAGACCTTTGGAAACTGTTAAGCGACACTGCAGTTACCGCTGTTACAAGCTTCTATCTCACACAGAAAATACCGAACTTCTTTATTCTCGCGTCAAATCGTTCGAAAAAATGCTTCTTGAAATGCCAAAACGCATTCAATGTTCAGTTATCAAATCAAAAGAAAGTATTGAGCATGCATTAGGTCTCCCAGAAAACCGTGCTGAAATATTTGATTTTCTAATGCATACATACTATGACAGAACACCGGAAAATGCGAACGAAATTTCTCAAATAAATCAAGAAATTGTAGGACTTGTACAAATACTGTGCAATAGTATTGCATCATATGATAAACGATTTAGCATGTCTATTTTTCGCACTGGCTCTTCAGAGGAAAATACTAAGGTTGGGCCTCCAGACGAATTCGATTTTGCTCTCTGCATTAATGAATTGCAAGAAATAACAACTATCGTTATGACAAAAGAATGCACAGAGAAAGGATTTGCATGTCTTAAATTTTGTAAGAATCCAATACCCGAAGACTACGTACAGTTTTCAGACTTGGAAGGATATTTCTTAGCATTTCCATATCTTAGCCTATATAGAACCTATCTTAAGAGAGCTCTGAACGAAGCATCAACATGGACCAAAGGAAATCTCCTTTTCAATTATGAAGACAAGATGGAAGTTATCAGTGGAAAGCCTGTTTTCAACTTTGAAGTTTACTGGATAGGATGTGTTTACAAACAACTTAAAATCAGCATTGATCTGGTTCCTGTTGTTTACACACCGGGATGGTGGCCAAAGAATGTTAATTTCCCGGATTTTATTGAAATGAACGAAGATGTTCAAAAGGCAGGTTGTTTTCTAATTCTTCAGACGAAGAGAAATGATTTTAATAGAAATAACCTTATAGCTGGCGATGATATATACGAGACATGTAACAACAATCGAGATGTGAAAACCCGAAGAATGCTTCGTGTGTCCGCAGCACCTGCAGAAATAACACTAATGAAAACGCTGCCAAATGTGTTTCGTTCCGCTTATATTCTTGCTAAGATTATGAAAAGCAAAGAAGTTTGTCCTAAAATTGAAATTGACCAGCTTCCATCAACTCTCTACGCTCATCAAAGTGCCTTCAAATTGCATAAGCCACCCCCTATTAACCCGTCTCATGTCATCAAAAGTTACATGCTTAAGAATTGTACATTTTATCTTTGGCTTGAATTGCACAAAAAAATCTTGGATGAAAATTTAAGCAGCACAGACATTGCTGGTCGTCTCTTTCAGTATTTGCTGAAATTCACAAATGTTCGGCAACTTAGCCCGTTTTTCCTTCCTTATTCGGACGTTTTCGAGTTTGAAAAGGATGAATATATATCTTCATACAATAAGTTTTTGCTGAATTTGAAAAGAGAGTTAAGCATAAAGACTATTCTTGGTATATTAAAACACGACTTCCCGGAGGAATGCTTATCTATAAGTAACATTCTGACATTTTCAATAGATTAAAATAGATTAAAGAAAAATATGGAAGGAGAGAAAAATGTGCGTGTAGTCTTTGATTAAAGACATTCATCTCTTATATGTTAAGATAAAGATAGTGATGAAAAACAGGAAGAAAATTATTAATAAGAAGATTTATAGGTTACTTTATTATGTTATGTGAAGGAGATTTATTGCCAAAAGTCTATGTAGTATCTAGCTGTTATTCCTAATCTTCCAGCTTTTGTTTTGCTACATGTATTATTGTTATACTAACTATGCTAATTTATTGCTTTTAGTTGGTCCTGTTTTTTACATTTTACATTGCAATTTTTTCATTCGTTATTTTGTCCTTGATTTTCTGTTGATTAATTCTTGTAAATCTGTTCTTATTTTAATCGATATAGTATTTTGATACCTTATATTATTACAAGTAATGAAAGAAATTATTTTTCTACTGAAAAGTGCTAATTTTACTACTGTGTGGGGCATTATGGATAGGCCGAAACCAGGCTAGCCACGGTCCCCGGAATCATAGGACTGTGCACAAGCAGTTATTATTATTAAATAAAAATATGTCAATTCAAGGCGAGAACTATATAGAGGTCTTTGAAAAAAAGATAACGAACAGTATTCAATATCAAAGTCCATAAAACAATACAAAATTGGAGCAGCGCAAACACGGACCTCCAAAACATCAGATACGGGATCAGGTAATATTCTAAAACAAAAAATCGGTTTTTAAGCTGGTTAGGAGTAAATAGATTTTATGCTATCAATATGACTATTTTAATAATTACTTTTACTTATTTTACAAGCTACGTGTAATTTTTTAGAAATGTAGACAGAGGCAGGAATCCATGTGCACCAAGTTGATTGAAGAGAAGAAAACATATATGTAATTTTAATTACTTGCAATAAAACTACAAAATTACAAATTATAAAAATTGACATATCGTCGCTGTAATATCAAAATGTCGTAAGTCGATTTTTGGCGCGAAATTTTTATTGCTAATTTGGAATCTGCAATATCGAATACATGTTCTGTCAAAACGTCATGTCTCTAGGCCAATTAGAAAGTGAGATACAGACGTGTGATAAAAGCGCGTATGTCCATTGGATGCATTTTTTTTTTCTGACAAAAGGTCGTATGTCTCTGGGCACTAAAAAGGATGTCACTGGCCGTCTGATATCAAGGTGAAAATTATAATTTATTTAAATCTTTTATAATTTTTACTAAAAAATGTGTTCAACATACAAAACAAAGTATATTTAATAAACAGAGAAATCAATGGAAAGATTGATGAAAAGTTAGATGTATTAAAGGTTACTTTATGACAAACTGAATTCTGTTTTCGAAGTTTGTTACTGCAATCAATTTACGAGTATGTTAATTCATATAAAACATTTCAGAGCGTTCTAATATCAGATTCGTACGCTTACAATACATTGCAGGGGTTTGTTTCAATGCTTTTCTGGAGATACGACAATTTGTACAGAAAAAACATCCAGGACAGAAAGGAAAACACTAGACATACGACATTTTGAAAAAAGATGTTTTTTGTCTCTCCTGAAAAGTTGGGATTTTTGACTTACGACAATTTGATATTACAGCGACGATATGTACCCTATAAAAGGAAAAAAAATACACTTTTAGAAAAATAAGATTTTCTTGAATCCAGCCTTCGATACCAAAGGTTTTTAACATGATATGCAATAAGAATTGATTAATGGTGTCTTGCAATAATAGCAAAAGCCTTTTGCACTATGTATTATAAAATACATGACGGAAATAGAAGAAAAAAAATACCAAATAAGTATAAAATCATGACAATTTTTCTGAATGCCTGGATACCTATCGTTTTTTAACCTAAAATATATTTGTTGATCAAATTGCAATAAAAAAATTTATTACTGATATTCTAATTTGCTTTTCCTGCAAAAATATTGGAAATTTGACAATATTCCCTATATAATATGATTAACTTAAATATTTAACTAAAAAGAAATATTGTGGATAAATTGACATAACTTTGTGGATTCAGAGATATTTTGGAGTATTTTTGATTACTTAACTGCCAATTTTATAAACCTTAAGATCGGACTACCATAAAGGGTAGATATCAACAAAATCAAAAATTGATTTCTCTTTATAAAATGAGAAAAAAACAATGATTTTTCTTTTCTCTGTTAAATGGATCAAATTTTATTCATATCGAAATAATACAAAGCTCGTCAGTTTAATTAATTTTGTTTAAATCTCCTATTCAGAACATATTTCTGGATCTGTAAGTGAATGATTACAAAACAAATAGACACCGTGAATTTGTTTACTCTAGTTCATCCCTAATGGACTCAATAATAGAGAGGGACCTTAGATAACAGGTTAATGTAATCGATCTGTGGCTCAGATTCGGTGGCTGCCAATACAGATCTATCTCTGTTTCTACTGATTGTTAGGAACATGTACATCTGTACAACTATCAAGCTTATATAAGTTAATCATGGCGTTTTTGGTACTCCTTACTTTACTTGGATTGGTGAAAAGTGAGTATTCTTGTATTTTCTCTCTCTCTCTCTCTCTCTCTCTCTCTCTCTCTCTCTCTCTCTCTCTCTCTCTCTCAGCGTTTAAAATTCATTTATTAAAAAAGTAATGGATTTTAAATTAAACATACACATAAAAATTATGTTGATTTTTTAACACATATTAAAATTCATTATTCTTGTGGGGAAAAAATGCGATGCAGAATATTTCAACCTTCATATATTGTATGAATTACAAAGTGTAAAATTAAAAAAAAATAAGGATAAAAACAATGGTATGCAGAGGAAACTTTGCCATGTATGATCCATACTATTATGTTTATTTATATGTATCATGTAATTGGTTTTATGTGATAATCATAAAAAAGGCCTCATATGTGAATCATATGTGGCAAATTTGCTTATTTATCAATACATACATGTACATAAATGAAAAATAAGATGTATGATTTTTACAAGAAATATTCCTTTTCAGGTATACTTTGTAATGAGCACGATTTAAGGTCTGATCTCTTCAACACATCTAGACATAACCCATTTGTATTACCCAGGAACTCAGCAGCACCAATAAATGTCACACTCTCGTGGGTTACGGGGTTTGTCGTGGGATTTGTAAGTAATTTTAGTCACAACCTAACGACAAACAAATTATGATAGGTCAAATGGTTTGTAAAAGTTTTATAAGTAATGAGAAGCTATTACACTGTCAAAGATCATAGGTTTTGATTCTACATGTATCAGTGAGAACATGTAATCACGATTTAAGGATGATACTTTGCATTTGTAACAGAACTAATGGAGATGTCTAGAAATATCGAAATTTGGATAAGGTGCCATGTAAGAGTAAGCATCCCCTGTTGACCGGTCACATAAAAAATCAAACATTACATGTATAAGAGTGCATCATCTATAATTGGATCAAATAGTTTATTGCTTTTGTGCTAATTAAAACCTATCAAAATAAAAAAATGTTACATATTCTTCAGGGCTAGGATGAATATATGTTTGTTGTTGAATTTTTAAAAAGGAATATTCATAACTGTTGGTTTAAAAAATAAATATTTTAAAATATTGTTTTAAGACTAAGCTCTCATTAAGTAATTTTTTATGACTGATTGATTTTATACTTTCTTCTTGAATAAAAAAGATATTTTATGAGTCTTTCTTTTTTTTCTTTTTTTTTTTTGCAGGATGAAATTGAAGGAAAATTCACTATCATGGGAAATTTAGAAATGGTATTTAAAAATGTTTTCGAAAAATCAGATGACCTTTGTAAAAAATTTTTTCTCTCAAATGTAGTAACTGTAGCTATTTTCATTTCATTTATAGAGCTGGAAAGACGAGCTAATGATGTGGAATAAGGAAGTCTACAACGTGAGCTCTATTGTAGCTGTCGGCAAAGAAGTGTGGACGCCTCCTATCTATGTCCTTAACAAGTTTGTAGCCTTAAATACTAGTAAATATGTATGACATTTTTATATATTAAATTGCTTGGGAAGTTTCTGAAAAATTGTTTTTAAGCAAAAATACATGCATTTATATATGAAATAAACTATTAGTAACTCCAGAGCAAACTACATATACGAAGTTTTAAGTTCTTTTGAAGACATCAATAAATGTGAAAATCAAAATATGGTCTGTGTTTTAAGTTGAATTTCTTTTTAGCAGATGCTTTTCAAATTTTCAATGTAATTCATTTACAAACAAACAGGAATGAAATATAATGAAGGATGCTTATAAAAATACTTATGAATTTATGCTATAACCCAATAAAAAATCTGTTATACGAGGGCTGTTCACTAAATATTATTATACCTCATATAAATAAACACAAGTAAAGAGGAATCTGATTGGCTGAGGCAGTCACGTGACCGTCGTGTTCGCCCTGCGACAAAACTTCGTGTTTCCCGCGTTCGGTTCACATCGGCTGACTACGCTATCCTACATCTAGATGTAATCAGCCGAGGTGTACAGAACGTGTTTCACGTTTCACGTCAGTGGGGAAAGAATGTTACTACACTGCACTGTGTAAATCAGAATGACTTGTCACGAAGGTTTTTTTTTTTTTATGAAACCGCTAGTGGTGTGACTTACACCTATTGGTATATCATATTGTTCTCATCAAATGTTTACTTTATTTATTGGATTCTCTTTATATTTTCTGCATTGTGCTTGATTCGGTATAATAAAATAATTATTGTATGATAGTGAGGGAGACATAAAGATTTCTTCACCCATGAAAAATCATATTCCCCTCGGGCGTTGCCCTCGGTGAATATGCTTTTTCATGGGCGAAGAAATATTCATGTCTCCCTCATTATCATGCAATAGTTGTATAATGTCCTGATCTGTATGACATACAATACAGATATCATATGACATTAAACTTGACTTTCTCTCATTATTGAATATTAACTGAATTTATAACAGTTTATTTGACCACTTTTCATCGCATAGTTTCATCGTGAGAAGCTGGGAAACAAGGGCAATTCGGGACGGTGCGTAATAAATAAATGGAAAAGAATCAGTAACCTAGAGTGAGAATAAAAGCTACATTAAAGCTGCTGTAAAACATGTTAAAACTCCAAAGAAATATTCACTGAAATATGTGACATTTACAGCAACCAATGCCTGTTTTATAGACAAATGTGCAGGTGGATTTCAAAGAACAAAATATATATAATGGGCAACAAAAATTG